AGACTTTATGCAGCAGTTAAAATTTGGTAACTTTACCTTAATGCATGCTAGAACTGAAAAAAGACTTAATATTCCATTATATTCTAAAATGTTAAAAATTGAGTATTGTGTGATTATTATGTAAATTTCTGACAAAAGAAGGCAAAAAGTCAGTAGAGATTAAACATTTAAATGCTGTATTTGGGGAATCTTTCCTTTCATATTCCATAGTGAAAGATTGAGCTAAACAGTTTTGCTTAGGCCGGTTCTACAATAAGTCGTATGTCGTTAGCCGTAAGCAAATTGACCAACCACAGTCAATATTTTTTGGAATTATCGACTGTGATTGGTCAATTTCCTTACGATTAACGACATACAACTTATTGTAGAATCGGCCTTAGGCAAAGAATCCACACGATATTCAATTTTTAATATTTTAGAACATAACGGAACAATTAGTTTTCTCTAGCATGCATACTACTGGAGATATGAGGTACCAAGGTTTAATTACAGCGTAATGGGACATGGGGTTGAGGGGATCTAGCATGGTAACTGTAAATTCGTGTTCTAACTTATGCAGACCGAAAACTTTTGGGTCTTACTACGTATTTATTCTAGCACCTGTTGACAAAATAAAGATAAAGAATCGTATAGAGATTTTAATCTCATTTGTATATAAAACTAAATACAAAATATATTTTTACATCTTGTTTTAATTAAATTTACAATTTTTTTTATTGATGATATAAATGATTTTGATGTTTTCAAAGTATAACACAAATAATGATTGCGCGACTATTGCCATTTTTATTATATTATATATTTATAGCTGTAATTATTATAATAGTTAGTTATATATTATTACATAATTATATAAAATGTTTATGTGTAAATTTCTTTACATTGCAGAATGAAGCAAATTGTTACCAATCAAACAGTTAAAATCCCAGAGGGATTGACTGTTACAGTCAAGTCTCGTCTGGTAACTGTAAAAGGACCACGAGGTGTTTTGAAACGATCCTTCAAACATCTCGCACTTGATATTCGGGTAAGCAAAAAAATTTATATATA